AACATAAACATTGTATCGTTTATAGTTTGTTGTTCGTTTTGAATTTGTTTACAAATTGAAGCTATATTTTTTATTCTGAAGGTTAAAAATTGACAACAATTTGATGCTTTTATGTTTCCAAGAAATATGCTACTTAATTTAGTCATGGTTGCAAAATTTGAATATAAATGATCGTTTACTAGATATAATCTTGTGGCATTCTCAAATTTTACAACCTGACTTATTAGGCGATATTTACCTAGAAGACATATTAAATTGCTTTCAATTTTCATCGTCCGAATAGGATTAGCATGTTTAGCAACGAGAGCTAATGGAATGACTTGAACGTCAGTATTCAAACAACTTTGAGACTAGAGTTCATTTCATTGACGTGGAAAGGACTGGTCCATAGTATTTGAGTTAGACTATGATACATAGTAGTACAATTAAAATCATATGTAAGTAAAATAATATAATAATACAGATAATGAGTTGTTTGTTGAGCCCTGCTACTAAACACGGGCTGGGACGAGGAATAAGATGGCTGCAACTCAGCACATGACCTGAGTAGCAAAAATCTTGTCTGTTATGATGATAAATTCATATATACAGAATAACTTCTTACAGAATATTGTCAAAATAGTCTCATGATGTGGGGTCCATCATGGAAAAAAATTGCCAAAAAATACTCTACCCACCCCCTATATGTGTATTCTGATAACATTCTGTGAAAACTTTTTCTGTACATCAAATATGGCTCTTGTTCTTAATACCTGTTACTTAAAAGCTAAGTAAATAAAATCGTACCATATCATTGAGAGAAATTATTATCAACTAGCTTTTGACGTCATTAATGTTGAGATTGCTTTATTTCCAAAGTGATGTCAAGCCTATTGGCTGGGAAAGAATAATAATACAACACCGTCCATTTTTTTTCTTTTTCTTGTTTCAAGGTAAATTTCAAGGCAAATGCCATTTTACTCGAAAATGTTTGATATCCACAGTGATCGATGCTTGCAAAGTATTCGGGTTTCACGTGAATTAAATATTACTCAACCGTCAAGATGTGTGTGTTTGATTATCTCCTATATTAACCATTATGTTCCTCCAACTTGATTTAAAATTTTAATGATCTCCACCCAACATTAAGCAAATTCTAAATCGGTTTGCCCATGTTTAAGTCTCAATTAATTCACGAAACTTTTAATGATTATTTCAATCTAGATTTATTTAATTTTTCGTGTTTGTCCGAGACCAGGATTTTTTTTATTAATTTGGATTTCTCAAATTCTTAAGAAGACGCATTGACAATTGTTATGTCCACATCTTTGCTCCATATCACCCACCATCCATTAAAAAATTACATGTAACAAGAAGTCAGTACAACTTCCATTAGCTCATATAAATGAAATAAAAATAATAATAATAAAAGATAAAATAGGTAAAAAGTTTGCGTGCACCGTGTGTTTATGTACATGGCAAAAAGTTTCATTAAACCCAATATCCGTGGAGCTTGCCCGTTCTAATAAGTAAATGTGGCAGGGTGGGGGTGGGGATCGTTGCTTTGAAGCGGAGATGGGGTGAATACAGAAAACATAATCCTCACCCTACTACCTGCTCCATTTAAAGTTCGTTTAAAATTTAATTTTTTTATTAAACAAAAGGAAAATAATTATAGGTTGTTCTTAACAAACTAAAATAAAAAGTAATAATTTTCACCATCTCTAGAAATAGAAAAATAAAACAAATAAATAATAAATAATAAACAAACGGGACGATAAATTTGGTAAGGGCTTCATCCTACCTTAATCGGGTATGGGGTGGGGGTAAGATAACAATAACACCTGATGACGTCAGGGACAGGAATGACCAATTTGTCCTCGATTTGATCCGTTGTCATCTCTCTATCTATATATGATGCATATACATATATAAAGATTTGGGAATTCAAAATAAAAAAATTCCACTTTATGAATGTTATCAAATTGAATGTTGGCTATCAATGCAAGATATTCATTTAGAGTGTTGATGATCATGAGTCTACGTCCCAGCTACCACTCTACTACAAGACTGACTATCGCATAAAATATTGATCATTAGCGCACTCTATATGAACAACATTATTCTTTTTCTTTTCCCCTCTTTTCTTATCTGCAAATTGAATATTGATAAGTGATGATGGAGAAGGCCATTACAGCCGCGGATAATGGTGAACTAGTATAATACCTGGTGTTATATGATTAAGGGGTTGTTTGAGCCCCAAAATTTTTTATTTTTTTATTTTTCAAAAAATACATTTTAAATTAGTGTTATGATAGAGAATGTGTGGTTAAAGAATAAGTAAAATTTTTGAATTTATATGTAATATTAATTTATTGAAAAATATATGATTAAAATGAGGTTAAATCACTGTTGCGGAATTCATTTTGATGAAAAAAATGGGGCTAAACGAGTTGGGATTCTAATTTTTCTTGAATTCAATTTGTGGTCTGGGTGTGAGCTTCAATCTCCTAGAAATGCTATCGACAACGGTGTGTGACAATTGTGGTGGTGTCAGGCAAGGGCGGGATGGCGTGCGGTGTGTGTAGGAATCCTTTTTGCTATATATATTATTATTTATCATTTTCTTTTTTCTTTTCTTGTTATTTTACAAGAATATTGACATTTTTACCGGATTAAGTATATTCACGTCACAATTTTTTTTTTGTAGGTGCATCATATTTTAATAAGATTTATAATATTTACTCATTATTACATCAATGTCTTCAATTTTCTCATCACGTTCTTATCTTTAACTTTTCATTGATTAGCACATCTTGTCCTTAATGACAATTTTTGTTAAAAAATTCGCTAATAAGACTAGTTGCACATTGTATTTTTGAATAGGCAAAATAATAATAATAATAATAATAACAACAACAACAACATCAACAACAACATATACATAATTGAGACTAAATATTTATTATTGTTTAAAAGCACGCTAACAGAATTTTTGCACGAAAATCTTCATTAAAGATTAAATTTGCTAATAAATGAAACAATAGAAACAATTAAGAATCATTAATACAATTAAAATGTGCCGTGAATATATATATATAACATAGGCTATGTTTGATAACCCAACTTTTTCAATGGAAATTTCCATTTTCTACTTTTGGCTTGTTTGATAGCCAAAATTTTCTCACCAATTCATTTTCCTTCTTTGCCTAACATGAGCACCAATTCTTGGTTTTTGGGGAATTTATTTTCTCATGTGGTAGGTGGTTTTATGTTTTCCACCTTTTTTTTTTTGGCACTAGAAACAAATTTTAGGAACAATTGTAAAAGATGATATTCTTTAAATTGACAATTTTCATGTAAAATAAAGTCAAACGAACATTAAAATATAGATTTTTTTGAATTTTTTTTTCTTTTTTTCAATGGAAACAAATTCTTGCAACAATTATAAAAGTGAATATCCCTTAAATTGACAATTTTCATAAAAAATAAAGTCAAACGAACACCAAAAAACACTTTTATTTTAACGTTTTTCAAGTGAAAAATTATACCAATAAAACATTATTAATTGACAATTTCTAGTAAAACAAATTCTAGATAATTCAATTCCCTTCAATTCATTTTATTTTCACCCAAATTTCATCTTTACAATCAACGAACCATAGTATATATGGAACTATCATTTATTACACTCAAAACAAGCTTATTGACCATTTAGCATTTATGGGAATGGCCTGTGCAGCTCCCATGACTGAATTAATGGCAAAAATTGGTGGAAAAGCATGCAAAATTAAATTTTGTACGAATCTTTCTCGAGCTCAATGCCATTTTTATATGCTTCTGTAAGCCGCATTTTTTTAAATTTCCAGTTCTCCTTCTCCACTCACCAGCAAGCTTTACAAACAAATAAAAACATTCTCATTCTGAGATTTACAAGGCACCCTTTGAATTTTGGTATATTCCGAGTGGATAAATTATAATCTTTATTATTTCTTACTTACTATTATTCTCCAGACATTTCTGAAAGAGGATTTTTTTTTTCCTTTGTTTTTTTGGTACGTATATAATACTTCTTTCAAAAAGAGGAATTTTTCACTTTACACATTTTGAGATGNTCCCAAAAAAAAAAAAAAAAAAAAGAAAGAAAGAAAGACGACTCTAAAATAAAGTGATGTCTATGATTGTGGCCTTTAAAAGTGATAAAATTACAAATTTCAGCGTCTGTTCTCTTAAGATCATAAAGGGGATCAGTAGCCAAGAAAGCATAGCTTTGAAGTGCACAACTTTCACAATGTATAAGCACATATCTAAAGGTAGTAGCAAGTGTGAGAGACCCTCCCAGATTAAAAGGAAGGTCAGGTTAAAGAGTAATTCTATTAGGCACAGGAACAAGTAAGTACTAGTGTGGAAATAGTTGAAAGATAGCTGAAGTTTTCACCATTCACATTATGCTAAACAAAGAGCCCATTTAGCTGGGCTTCTACATTTGCTTCTACTTCTTGTAGACTTCCATAGATCAGCTTCCACTAAAGCTATTCTAGCAAGACAAGCACTTCCAGAAAATTATCAAAACATGTTAAAAAGCAGTTGCTAAATCTCAAAAGCCACGAGATAAAGCTCTGCAATCCTAGCCCGAAGCCAAGGACCCTATATGAAGCAATGAAAATTACACAAGTTTGTTTCACTCATATTTTGTCCATTAGAAATTTCTGTACCTGAATGACCATTAGTCACATATCAGAATCCTTCAAGACTAGGCTTCAAAACTGATCTCATGAATTCTGGTGAGATGATGATATCAACTTCTCCAACCACTAAACCCTTTGTGCTCACCTATAGTTTAATGTTTAGTCATAAAGTTTTTTGCAGTCAGAAATTCAGAATTTATCAATTTATAAATGCTTCACCATCTTCAACAAGACACCTTATTTCTAACAGGAAGCAAATTATCCGTGCTCAGAATTCGCACCAAAAGATAGACATCATGTGGAGATATATAGAACAAATTAGTGAACAAGCGCTTGATCAAGAATGTGAAATATCATAGCAAAAATCATGGAAGACAAGAAAGATGCAGGTCGTTTTCCTGCTTGGCTAGTCAAACATGGGTAATTCATAGATTATGAGGAATAAAACCAAACATATATTTTACTTCAAACTTCGGCACATAGAGCTAGCAATTCGTTACAGAGAATGTAACAATGGAATACAAAGTCACATAGCCCAGAAAGGCTTATTTCATACAAGCATATACAATAAGAGGATATCTCTATGCTCATAGGAGAACTTCAATTCTCTCTTAAAAGCATAAACTAAAGACTCGAAATCCTGCATACTAATCAACATCATTAAAGAGCAAAACTAGAAAAAATGGATGCTCTAGATAACCCAATCAGACCATTCAGATATATGAGATGTATGGTCCATGGTCAAGCTAGGCAATTTGTCTAGCTTAGTAGGATTCTCCTTCCCTCCAATCAATTTAGCAGGGTTCCCTACAGCAGTAGTTCTAGCAGGCACCTGCTTTAGCACTACAGACCCTGCACCAATCTTAGCTCCATCTTCAATTCTAACATTCCCCAAAACACAAGTACCTGCTCCAATCAATACCCCATCTCCGATTTTCGGGTGCCGGTCCCCAGATACCTTACCAGTGCCACCCAATGTCACATTATGCAAAATTGAAACATTATCCCCAATTACTGCTGTTTCTCCAATAACAACTCCAGTTGCATGATCAAGTAAAATCCCCCTACCAATTTTTGCCCCCGGATGAATATCCACCGCGAAAACCTCAGAAACCCTGTTCTGTATCAACAGAGCCAGGATTTTCCTCCCCCTTAACCATAATTTGTGTGCTACTCTATGAGCCTGGCAAGCTAAATATCCTTTGAAATTCAAGAAACAGTGCACATAACTAATACAAGCAGGGTCCCTCTCCTTAACTGCCCTTAAATCATCTTTTACACCTCTCATAATATCTTGATTCTCTGTGAGCAAACCTACGAAAAGATCATAAAGGGTTCCACTGGGCAGCATAGAATTGCTCAATTTCATGGCCAGATGATTAGCCAAAGCACTTTCCATAGAATCATGCAACAAAATAGAACTGAAATAATAATTTGACAATATGGGTTCTTCATCAATATCTGACCTGGCCTCGTCCTTCATCAGCTTCCACAAATTATCTACGGCTTCTTCATGATTTATATTAACATCATCCAAACCTGTGGGTGCACACATGTGGAGGGTATTCGACCTTTTCTCCGAAATAGGAGCGCAAGAAACAATGTCAGCAGAATTGGGTCTACAGTATTTAACAAAATTTTGAAACAGACAATCATCAACCTGGGTTTTGTNAGCGCAAGAAACAATGTCAGCAGAATTGGGTCTACAGTATTTAACAAAATTTTGAAACAGACAATCATCAACCTGGGTTTTGTTTGGTTTTGTCTGAGGAGGGGTTTCTGTTCTCGAAGTGTGCACACAAGTGGCCATGGCGAAAACTGATAACTCGACTGGCTTCAAAACGGGTCGTTTAAATTGTGATCCAAGAAAATTTGCAGAGACAGAAATGCGAGGCGCAAGAAAATGTGGTCCCTTGGTTAGGAAGTTATATAGAGAGGGAGACGTGGATAGCAGAAAAGCCAGAACTTTCATTGGAAAATGATATCTTTTCTTGGGCAAAATCGAAACTTGTTGAGGAGAACCAAAAAAGTGGAGGAATCAACTAGAGAATGTACCGAGAGGATGACGAGGATGCGTGTGGTGGCTCAAATATTTAAGATACGCGCGGCAGCCATATACAGGGGCAACGGAAAGTAACCACTATTCTTGAACAAGACCTCTTTTCGCACCATTTAAGTATGAAAATAATGATCAAAATCAAATTAAATTGTCAATTGCCCCCAATCGAAAATAGGATTGATTAGCAATTCCAAATAAATTAGAGTTACGTCTCCTTTTTATTTCCATTTATCATCATTTACATATTCTTTTACAAATTAATAAAATAACGATAAATTGGATTAAAATCGTTAACAATCGCTTAAACACTGGTATTTATGTAATGTGAATTAATGACAAAAATATATATATATATATATTTGATTGATGAGATTTTCACTACCATCAAATTTTTAAAGTGGTCAACCAAATAAAAAAATTAAAAAAATCCAATAAGGATGTGGAGGTGGGAGTGGGAGTGGAGTGACGAATGCGGTGACGTTCGTTTGTCAATCATTTTCACGTGCTCATAAAATTGCACTTTGACTCCATTAAAATTACGTAATTATCTTGTTGCAAACTTTGTGTAACTTTGCTTCTTTGGCTAAACCTAAGTTAAGTATGAATTAATACTTAAATTTTTTCTTAGGGAGGGGGCATTCAACATCGGATTTTTAGGCCAAATCAACATTAAAAGCTATAGGTTAGCACTAATAAAAATTAAATTCGAACACGCAAATGGATGGTTTAAAATAATAATAATAATGTTATTTATCCCTTGTTTGGTGTATAATTAAATCATATCTTTTAGTAAATTTTAATAAAAAGTTAATGAAATATATAATTAAAAAATTATGGATCTTATAAAATATATTGTTAAAATTAATTATTGATTTTGTCTTGAAATTTTTAATCTATATCAAATACGGACTTATTTATATTAGAAATTATTACTAATGTATGTGATGGGTGATGTGTCATAAAATGATAGGGTTAATTAAAGATATTAATACGAGATTATCATTTAAATTATTACTTCGTATGATGACAATCTCTAATAGAATAGCTGGTTGGTTTTCTTTACAAACATTTGAATACATTTTTTGAAAATTATTTTTGAGTAGAAGCAAGAACCTTGGACAAAGTCTACCATATTATATAGTATGAGGAAAAAAACAATTCAAACAAATAATACATATTTTTATTTGTCTATTTTTTCGTGTCTCTTCTTTTGAATGTTACAATTGTTATCAGATCAAACAACTTGAAGTAAAAGCGAAATTAAAATTCTTAAAACAAGAAGTAACTTGAGAAAATTGAAAATTTTATAGAGAAGAATTTAATATAACAAATTGGTGAATGGAAAGTGTACGGAGCCTTTATTTATATAGGCAAAATAATTTCCTAAGAAAATCAAACAATATTACTAAAATAAAATAAAACAAAACAAAAATCCTACAATAGTTAAACCATGCTATATATCCCTACTATATAAAAGGGGGAATGTGGAGACACTATTGAAGTGAATAGTATTTTAATCTATTTTATCTCATTGTAGCATTTTTTTTTCAAGTGGGGGAGCAAAAACGACGCCGTTTGTCTTAGTATATATTTTATTATGCAGTGTACCTCCAAATTTACTGCAATATGCAACTTTCCATACCTCTCACCAAGTCTCATAAATATGAGAAAAGAAAATTCAATTTTATGTAAAAATATTTAAAAAAAATGATAATAATAAGATATAAAAATATTGCTAGAGCTTAAAAAGTTACTTATAGAAAATTAATTGCTAACTAAGTAAAAAAAAACTTATAATTGTAAAAGCTACTTATATATTATATAACTAAAAATATCAACTTAAAGTTTTAAGTATATTTGAGTTACTGAAAATTTGCTTCAATTTATTTAAAAGTAAAAAAAAAATTATAATTGTAAAAGCTACTTATATTATAAGTAAAAAAATATTAACTCAAAGTTTTAAGTATATTTTCTAAAATGTAAAGAGTTAATTATAAATAAAAAGTTTGTTTCAAATATATATATATATATACACTTAGTTATATAGTAAAAAGATATTAACTTTAAAAAAAAAAAAAATCACTAACTCTCCCTCCATGCACGGAGACCTCATGGAGACAATTTGTCTTTGTCTCCATGCACGGAGACAATAGTCTCCTTGCACTAACTTTGGTTGATATTAATATTTTTTTTTAAACATTATAGATAAGAAAAAATTCAATTTAAAATTCTTTTTAATTCTTTTCTCTTCATAATAAAATTTAATTTTTTAATTTTAATTAAATAATATTTATATATTCTTTATTTAATTTTCGTACGCAAGTTTTTTGTCAACTCAGGAACTACAAAACATGAGCAATGTAATACATTAGGGGCCCATAAGAATGAAGTGGCAATTAAATTAACTTCAGTAAGCACATTTTGGTACAGATAGATATAAAATGAAGCGGAAAAGTCACCTGTTGATAGAATATGGTGAATATGGTTTAGCTTGCTGCAGCCACCATCATCTGGATCACAAGCTAATAGGGGATTAATCTCAACAAACTTTAAAACCTCATCAAAGGAGGTTCCTGGGCACATAAACTACAAGGTACAGATGAAAAATAAAATCGAAGTGATGACAGTGGAAGTGTAGAATAAGGTGTACGAAGGAGAATCGGAATTTGCTTAATATTTTTTCCTTTTTTTCTACTTTTTTGAATTGGCTTTTGTTAAATTTCCCAAAAAAATTTTGAAAGAAAAAATATTATTGATGGAGAATAAAGTCTCCGTGCACGGAGGCCATGAGAATTATGAGTTTATTGTAGATGCAATAGTGATCCAATTCCCTGCAAATAATTTTTTCATTTGCTTCTGAAAACAAAACGATGTCTCTTTACTTTCATATCTTTATTGAACGACATCATTTTCTCGTTCTTGATATCTTCTTTGACATGCCAAATTGAATGCATTTAACCTTTACAATCTTTCCCATACCTTTCCTCTCGTCTTCACTCTTTATCCATTTTCACACAGTATCGACCGTAACTCTTTTCTCCTCCTTCATTTCTCCCATGCCACAAGTACCAGCCATCATTTCTTCTTCTCTCTATTTTTTTTTTCCATTTCATTCTCTCAATCTTGTGAAAAAAAATCTGTTTCCGACCATCCCAAAGATTCTGACATTTGTTTCATAGGGTTTCAAGTTCTCATCATCTGATATATTGTAAGGATTTGGGTTGCTGAAATTTTTGAGCCAAATTGATATTCTGCATGACCCGACCCAATGATTTTAACAAACATTTACTGAAGCTTCTAGATTTGACAAAGTCGTATTTTCTGAAAATGCAATTTTAGATCCAAAATGCGTCCTCTGCTGGATCTCCTACGCGTGGCATAATTGTGACCGTTGGATTGGTCTATGGAAGACGCCTCATATAACTAGAGTTTGAGATATCTTGTTCAACCCTAACTTTTCATTTTCTTGACTGCCATTCTTCCTCTCCGAACTCTCCATTTTTCTATGGGTTTACTTTGATATTTCTGTGTGAAATCCTTTTAAGGAATTGTTGAGATTTATCTCTGTATGAGATCCGTGTATAGAATTTGAGGGCCTCTTGTGATTAGGAGAAACGGCAGTGTAATCTTATATGTTTGTAACTTGGTTTTGCCCAATATGGGTATCTTGATAGTGGATCCGAGCTTAATCCGTATGGATGCTCAACGGGGATGTAGGCGTTAGTTGGTCGCCGAACCTCGGGGCTTTTGGCCGAAAATTCTTTGTGTTGTTTTTATAATTTTACTGCACTTTTGGATTTTGTATTTTATTGAAAAATACTCAAACGAATAAAAGATTTGAACAACTGGGACTAACAGTGGTATCAGAGCCACTGCTAAAATTCGTTTTTCAAAATATTGTTGTTCAAACCTTGCATTCTCTAACACGATTGTGCTTAGAACTATAAAAAATTAATAGATCTGTTTCTGTTGTACAGGAAATCTCTTTGATCTGAATCTTGAGCAGATCTGTGGAACCAGATTGGTACCCTTCGAAATAAACTGCAGATCTGGTGAAATCTATACCTTGTCCAAATTTAAATATTTACTGAATCTTGATTAGGGTTAAGTTAAGGATTTCTTTGAACCCCCTTAATTTTCCTTTGTCTAGGGTTCCATGCGAGAACCCTAGAATCTGAGGGAATTAAGGAACGGTGAAGAAATCCATTAGGGCATAATTTTTTATGTACTGCTATTTATGTTAATTTCTGCATATTTTAAATTTGGTGTATAGGAATTCACAATACTAGTCAACAATCTACAGTTGACATTATTCAATTATTTTTTTGTGTATGCACTCACATTTTACATAATTAGGCAAGAAATTGTTTTATTTGTTATTGCAAGAATAAATTGTCAAGTAAGAAGTTTACTGAGTGTGAACTGCTTTATGCAATATATTTTTGTTGTGCTCTGCATAAACTGTGACAATTTTTTGGGGAATTAAATCTTGCCTAACTCATCTAAAATACTATAGTGCTATACTTGAACAATATGTCCACTAAAACTGATATTCAACATTGGGATGACAAAGGGGATTTTACTCTCTAGAGCCAAAAAATGAAAGCCCTCTTAATGCAATTAAAATGTGTTAAAGCAATTGATGAATCTTGGCCAGAAACTTTGTCAGAAGTTAGAAAAACTGAGCAAGATGAATTGGCATGGAGTACAATATTTCTTCATGTATCTGACTCTGTGATTAGAAAGATAGAAACTACTACTACTGCTGTTGAGTTGTGGACAACTTTAGAAAAACAATATGTTTCTAAGTCTCTCCCAAATAAGTGCTTCCTCTAGAAACAATCCTTCAGTCATAAATTTGACCCTACTGCAGACCTAGAAGAAAATATGGACAGGTTTAATAAAATCACACAAGATTTAACCAATTGTGGGGAAAAGATCTCTGATGACCGGAAAGTAGTTGGTCTTCTAAATGCCTTGGGGGATAAGTATAAAGACATTAAGAATGCCTTAGAATATGGTAGGAGTGACTTAACTGTTGAAATCATTCATGACTCACTCAAGACTAGAGATCTAGAACTTAAATCTGAACA